ATATAAATAAAATCATCCAGACCTCCATAACATTGGCCTGTGGCTCTCCCTGGTATAACAATTATGATGGGGGAACAGGGAAACAGAAAAATCAATGTACTTACTTTCACTGTGGCTCATACTGTTTACCAAATAAAAAGCTAATCACAGGAGAAAAAGCATTTTGCATAACTTTTTTAGGTGGTGATATCTGACATAGCTCTGTTGGCTTAAATGGCATCACAGGAACATCTTGTGTAGTAAATGCAGTGCAGGTAGATGTACCCAAAATCACTTTTTATTTGGTGGTTCAGTAACAGCAACACAGTAGCTGTAGTAGTATAGAGTCCAGAATAGCTTGACTGCCCTGATATTTTAGTTGTACAGAAGGCTCTGCAACCTGCCCTAGCTCATGTTGCCCCATAAACTGTTGCTACTTGCAAGCAGAAGAGGCATCTGCAATCTGAAGATGCTTGACTGTGCCAGTAATACCTTCATCAATACCAAGTGTCTGACATTATAGCCTGTCTCCTTTAACAGAAGTTCCTTTGGACTTTACAATCTAAAGTTTTAAATTTTTTTTTTTTAGAGATAACCCATCTAAGCAAAAACTAATGCATGTAATGATACTGTCTTCCCCATTTCCTATTCTGCACGAAACATGGAAGAAAGCACCCAAAGACCCTGAGCTTCAACAGTGGATATACTACTTTGCTAAATATTATACTTCTTAAGAAATTAATCTCGAGTGGTATTTATGGAATGTTTCTAAAATTTGAGTCACAAGCTTATACACATGTAAGCCATCTGGAAACAGTTCTAGGAGACAGAAAGGAGATTTGAAGAACTGTAAACACTGTGTTATTTACATCATGCATGTTTTACTTTTTCCACAGTAAGAAAAGAAAAAACAGCAACCTTAAACTCATTACCTACAAAATCACTGTAATTGAAGAAGGAATGATGAAGAATTTGCATGCAATACAAGGACATTAATCAAACTCTAATGACTGACAGCATTCCTCCTGGTCAACATGACCAGAAAGGCCTGTGGCAAGAAAAGTTTCTGGCACTGCAGTAAAAAACTGTCAACAAGAGGAAACACAGAACATTGGATTTTTGTTTAAATTATCAAAACCTAACCAAAGAAATCCTAAAACAGATAACCTAAGACAGACACAAATAAAGCAGATTTCCCAGCTATGTTTACATTAAACAAATTAGATACAAAGAACTTACTTGCTATTCTGCTGATATGAATGAATTCTATGTAATTTGTCAAATGTCAATATCAACATTTCACATTCCAAGACCACGATTTCTTGTAATTAATTCCATGGGTGTAGACCTACGTCTTTCAACAATCCATCCAACTTAAGGGACTTTTTCCAAGTATACAGAATTGCAAGGTAAGACAGCATAGCCCAAAAGTTTAATTGCCTTTTTGAGCTGTAACCTACAACTGTTTCTTTTCTGGTGCATCGTACAAAATTAAGTTCTTAAAATGCTTTAACTATTCATAAGTTTTCAGTGTGAAGTGTTACTTATCTACAGCAATAATACGCACTTTACTATCTTTACGTTTTTTTTGACACATACTAATGATTATCAAGAAAATAATGTGAAAAAAACTAAAATGAGAGACTTCTGCTTGAGCAACACAATTTAAGGACTTCACACATTAGAATAAAAGCAACTAATTTCACATGAGTGAAATTAGGAACATAAAGGTTTCTGAGACTAGAGTGCAGGTTAATGCAATCTTAACTGTAACAACATATAAGTGGTTTTTTTGACAAAGCCCAGAATCATAGGTGTCTGAGTCCAAGATTTTTAATAACCATCTTAATACTTGAGTCAGTTAACTCCAAAATAATTACGTCCTGCACAAAACTGAAAATTGACTGCAGTTATAAGCAGTTGCTTACATGCACCTCACGAAGTTATTAATCACTAAAGATCAAACCCCAGATTTCATTACCTTCAACAATAAATTACACAGTAAGCCATGCTCACTGTTCCTCTTTTGTAAAATGTACTCATTATAAAATCTTAGTAATATACCACCACTAATTACCATCCATGCTGAGAGAAAGAACTGCAGAGCTCTTGATCAGATCTAGTTTGTTTATTAAACAGAACTAATATGCAAGAGCTTATTTACCAGTTATCCACTTTGGACATGAAAATCAGTTTGTACTTGTCCTTAAAAGTTTGGAGTCTCTGTTGGGAAATACTGAACAACATTTGCAAACTGCCATGCCAAAAGCTGAAAAATCCTACAGAAAAAGAAATGGATCTGTAAAATACCAAAGTTTATACTACACCAGATATATTGTATAATATTCCTTCTGTTGTTTCTACTTTGGTATGAGCTGTAACAACGGCCAGAAATGTTCCTTTTCAGGTCCTTTATTTTTCAGGCTTTTGGTATTGGAAATCTAGGTTTATTCTGACGCTTACCAACAGATGCATGCATTTGGTGTTAGCACAAGAAAATCTAAAACTGCAAGTGAAACATCAATAATGCTGAGAAATAGTTAATATTTCCAACTGCTTTACCTCATACATTTCTAAGGTGAAGGATACCTATGTAAACTGCAGTCTGGAAACTGCAGAAGAGTATTTCACTGAACTATGTAGAAATTGTGCCCCTGAAGCAGCCTGCCTATGCATTTTCGTTTCTATAGGGGGTGCTCACACCCCATATTAAAGCAATGACAAACGGTTTATACGGGTATCAGAAATTTGGTAGTTCTTTTGTAATTGCATTCTTCTTCTAAATTAAAGAAAGGATCCCTTTGGACACTAAAATAAATGTATAAAAAGCTAAGTGAGCTGAAGAGGTAGTTCAGGAGCAGATCTTCTGTGGATTATCAGAAAAAAAACCTGTGTGAGGATATTCATGGACATTGGACTGGCTGGCTATGCTAGACTTTGCTAAGCAGTGACAACAAAGGAATCTCTGTAACGTGTAGCCATGCTTTTCATTCCGACATCTTCATTTTCTTGTGTTACTGTAAATGAAGGAAAAAACCTCCTTAAAGACAAAGAAAACTCAAAGCTGGATTTTCATTTACTTTTATCATGCTTTCCTATACATTAACAGGAGAATCCCAAATAAACACTTCTGTAAAACTATCACAAGGAAAATGTTAAGGGTATTTTACACTGTCCAGAAATACCAACTAGCATGACTATGTTACTACCAAAAAAAAAAAAAAAAAAAAATTCTGCAGGGAAATAGCCAGCAGCAACCCCCTGCTCACCACCTGTATCAGTACTTCTCTGAATGCCCGTGGCCCACAATGACAAGGGATGCCCCACTGTTGTTGCTTCAAAGGCATTTCTAAAAGCTTTTGTTTTTACAAGGCTTGGGAGAGAGAGGGCAGGGTGTGGGGACAGGGGAGTGGCCCAGGGTCCCTACCTTGCTCCCTGGGGATGTGCATGAAGCAGTCCGCCCCAGCCATCCCCCGCTGTTTCCTCCCCTTCCTGAAAGGCACATGGCTGGTGGGCCCCTAAGTGGCTTCTGTTTCCTCAAAAAATTATAAGTTGATGGTCTCAGGGTACCCCAGAGCTGAGCCGCAAGGGGCAGCTAGGCCCAGAACCCACGCCCTTTGCTTCTGCTCCACGGGTCCATGCCAGGGAGGGCCACCCTCCTGGCACCGCAGGCCACAAACCTTCCAGAGACATCGGGAACTTTCCAGAAGCCCCTGTCAACTGTGGGAAATGGCCCCTCTCCCCCACCAGGAACTAGAGAATAAAAATCCAGGTAACAAAGGGTTGGTTTTGATCATATTGAATTATGGGTTAATAAACATTATATATGACAAGTAAATGAATTTCAGTCATGTTATTTATACCTGTTCTATTGCAGGTCAGAAGTACCAATTCCTTCTAGATTGCTGGTAGCATTGTTTTTTTAATTGCTTTACCTCCCTTATGTCTCCTGACTTAATGACTAACGAAGGCATGAAACACCGTATTTATTCAGTCGGTTTAATTTTTGGAAGCTTTTAAATGCTAACTTTTGTTTCTGCCATTCCCTTGACATGAGTAATTTTAAACCTGCTGCTTCATTCATTCAGTGTTGTACACAACATTGCTTTGCTCACAGTTTTTATACATAATAAAGGCAAAAGAAATTAATTTATTTCGAGCCTTAATACAACCATTTTAACTCCTTTTGTAGCTTCTCTGTATCTGTTCCTTTTAACGTTATTTCCATACACTGATTCACAGCTATAATCTTTCTGAAAATTACAAAGCTACAAGATTTGTGTCAAAGACAGCTGATAAAAATCTGTTCTGCAGGAAATGAAATACTATCATCCTTTGGGGCTCTTTTTAAACATACTCTTGAAAATCTGAAAAATACAGTTTCTGCTCAGTTGACTAACAGAGTAATCGATAAAAATCTCCTTAAGTGTAGTATCAACACAATTAATGCAAATTTTGAAGCAGTTTGTTGCTGAACTACACTGCTTTGAGTATAAAAATTGTACTATACCTGGATGCCCTTCATTCTGTTTCAGGTACAGTTTCTTAGGAAGGAGCAAGTCAATCCAAATAGCTGATTGGTACCAAAGAAGTCCCACCCTCCTTCAGCTATTCTTTTCTCCACACACATCTACATACTGACAGTTTCTTCTGCATTGATGCAGTTGTGTGTTTGGCCCAGCTGAGACAACTGGGTTTTAACCCACTACACTGGCAGCAGAGTAACCTAGGTCTGACTAAACACAAGGATCTAGACAAAAGTTGGCTGTCCTCTTCTCAAAGCACTTGAATATTTTCTTTTTTAGCATTAAAACCATACAGCCCAGCCTTTAAAAGACTGAAACAAGAGACAAACATCAGCAAAATTACCGTTTTCCATACAGATACAGACTTATGTGCCCACACATACAGGTTCTGTAAACGTGCTAATGGCAATGCAATAAAGCCTGCCTGCTTCTCTATGTTCCTTCTTCCATCTACAACAAAATCTAATACTCAAACCCTGTGTATTTTAAACTTTTAAAAGGCGCTGTTCAGATGTCATCCATGCTATTGCATATTTTTATTTTTCAAACAGTAAATCTCACATCACTTCATGTACAGATGGGGAACAAATCTAAAGCACTATTGATATAACTCAGTTTTGTATGTCTCAAACTGAAATACCACCTATTTCTCATCTAGGACCCATAAATTCTGGAGAAGGCTGATTATCAAAATCTTCAATCATATGCTTAAGCTTCAGGCCTAAGACTTCTACTGCTCAGAATTAAAGCAATTGTTGAGTGTTTCAGAATAAGCTGTGATTCACTCTGTGAGAGTGGGCAGTTAAAAGCATTTGATTGACTACTTCAGAACTACTCTAAACAGTGTAATTTACTAGTGAAAACAAGATCTAAAAATTTGATCATAAGAGCCTATGGAACTGAATCTAGTTTCATGAATACTTAAACTTTTTGATCCTGTTTAAAATGTAACTTTAGTCATGCATTTTATGAAAAGCACTCATGAAAAGCAAGTAGAAATAGCAGAAAAAAGAAAAAAATGCATTGTTAACATGAAACAAGATGAAATGCTATGCAGATGACCAGATCTAAATATGCTGGCTGGGGTAAAAAGACCCCAAGAACACTTGCATTTTAAACTAAACTTTAGTAAAAAAAAAAAAGCTTTAGGAGCAGCTGGCCTATAGGTTATAAACATTTTAACAATTTGTAGGAAAGCTGAATGTTGCAGAAAATTCTGATTTTACAAATATCTTGCCTTCTCTTGCCTTATACAGATGTAACGTAACATGTTTTATAATATCCACCTGTAAATTGTGGAAGATTTAGCTAAACAAATATTGTTTAAATAAACAAAAGAGAAAGTATTTTAAGTAAAAAAATAGAATAACGGTTTACTGGTCTTTGACAAATATACATTTTTTTATTATGAAACTATGAATATAAAATAAGCTGAGTCCATGCATAGGTCTTAAAAACATCATCCTCCTGCCCTGCATCTTGTTTTGTGCCTTCAAAATTGTGTTTTAAGAAGTAAGTATTATTTATAGTTAAAACTCATGAGGTCAAGTAAAACATTAACCACACTATAGGCCTCGAGTGTGCAGGAGACCATACTGGCAAAAACGATGTCATTAGTTTTGTGTGCCATGAATTGGCTAAAAGATTTCTTTCTGTTTTTATTAACACAGCGTTACTGAAAACATTCAGTATTTTTCATGCCCACAGAGGCACAAATTTTAATTAATTGGAAAAACTTTTTTTTTCTGCCCCCTCCATCACCAATTGCCACATATTCAGAGAGTACTTTGAGGATATCAGCTTATCATTTTACATTGCATATGATACACTGAACAGCAGTGAATGTACAAATTATGTGATGTCATATAATAAAGTTATGATCAGGATAAATAATTCAACAGCATACAAAAAAAGAACTTCGGTTCTCTGAAATCTGTTGAAGCATGAGATTGTAAGAATCATCACTGAAGTTTTTACCTGTGTCATACCACAAGGTATAATAGATTTATTTTTTAAAGAGCAGTTCAAAGATACGCCATGGGTGGGCACCACAGTAGAGTTAATTTCTCTTTGTATTGAAGTACTTTAAAGAGATGACAACACCCTGCAGGATGGCTGAATGAATGCTCAGGAAGCTCATCTATGTAGTTAAGCCGAAGGACAGTTTAAAGGCCAGTTCAACAGCAGCTTCTGTGACTGAGTCATGAAAACAGACATAACACTCCTGAGGTTTTGGATGTAGAATGAGTCTCCTAGAAAAAAAAAAAAAAGAAAAAAAACAAGAAAATGATCATAGGTGTTAGCTTTTTCTCCTCAACTGTTTGATATATTCTGGTTATACTCAGAGGTTTCGGTAAGTTGTTAAAAATAACTGCTGTGTAAGTCAGTTAGCAAATTTCTGTAGCTCTTGCATTATCTTACTTCTTTGAATACATTAGATTTTTAAAATCAAGTTACTATCTCTCAAGATTGTGTATGGAAAAAAATTCTTCAGGTTTTCAGGATCTATTTGTATGGTACTGGTGTGTTTGCAGTAATCCAAGTTTCCATGCTACAAGCTGCAGTCAAGGTGCTTGGTAGCAAGCCCACTATTCACATATTTACTGATTTTTAAACTTTATCCATCTGGGTAGGTACATTCACACATGTCAATCTAATAAGCAATTTTAGGGAAAAAGCTAAAATAGAAAAGCTGTTAATACCTGTGCATAACTGTGTGTAGCATTACAGCATAGCATATAGCTCTGCAAATACTAATAGACTGCCCTAAATTAATACACTGTCTGATAATGGAGAGAGTGAAAAATTATTTTTTAAAAGATATCAACAGCAGTGTAATAATTTCTAAATGTTTAATTTAAAGATTTTAATTTTTCCAACCCTGAGGATAGCACTCAAACTACATTTATGTACAATCAAGGTGGGAAACAATTTTTTTTCTTTTTTCTCCTTAAACATCTGACTTGAAGGCAAACAGGTAGAACAAAAGCTCTGTTAAAAGATTTCTACATTATTATTCCCAGACAATATAATTACCTGTGGATGATGTTTCCTCTCACTGTATCAGAAAAAAGTTCTTATGCCATATTCTGAAATGTGTTTTGCTGTTTTCTGACTTTTCTATTTGCGCAATAGTTGAACTAGTAGATAATTTAATGAATTAATCAAGCATAATAATTTATTTTCGTTTCACCCCAAATCTATGCTGGATTTGGTTTTTCATATGGTGAAAGCATAGTTTCCATTTAACTGGGCATTTGCATTTTTCTTTCTGTTTATTTAGTAGGAGTACCAAGATGAATGTAGAAAAGACGGAAACATCCTCTTGACTGACTACTCCTAATATGACTGTCTGCTTACTGCAGCTTCAATTCAGATAGCACAAAATAAAGATGTAGGAAAGAATAACATATGAAAAGTAGTGGCTACAGGGCTTACTGGCATGAACTTAAACAATCAGAAGATCTGATACGTTCTGAATTGTGAAGAAATGATATATACTACTTTCTTGTTACACCTAATTTTAATTACTTAAAAAAAGATTATTTTTTTAATATTTAATGCCTAGGGCAGTGTGCTTTTCTGTCATGCAAATAAGGCTTAGCTATGTAGCAATAATGAAGTGTATCAAATGAAACTAAGTCTAAATATCAACACAAATCACAATCCATTTATGATGATTAATAGCAGAACTTCAAAAGCAAACTGAGGAAAAGAAAACTCCCTGAAATATCTCAAACAGACTGGTAGGTTGCTTTGATCTTCCAGATGAAAAAACTACGACCAACCAACAACTACAACTGCTCACCTTATTTCTTTGTATCACTGAGTCAGCATTATGCATGGTGGCAAGATGGGTGGGATTTACTTTCAAAGCAGGGAATGGAGAGGTGAGGAGGGCGAGGAGCATAAAAAATGTGCAGGGTATTAAGAGTACGACTACAGCACTTCAGCACACCTGCACAGCACGATGCAGCGCCGCCACGGGTGTCAGGTCTGTGGTGTTAAGATGCTGGCACGCTGCTCACCAACGCGCCTGTGTTTTACAGCGGGCGGAAGGAACATCACACCAATGCAACTTCCCGGATCCCAAATCACAGCTACCTCAATCAGCTCAAGTACTTCTGTGATGTGCTACAGTTAAATTTATTCTGAAAGAATACAGTGGCAAAATGGAAAACCTTGGGAGAAAGGCATGCATCTGTAAACTCACCCCACAACCCAGTAATTCATTGTTGGTGGTGGTTTCTTCTGATCAGTCCAGTTATCAGGAGAGCACTCGAACAAAACACCATGCTCTCTCACCATATCAAGGTCCTCAGCTGCCTTACCGAATTCTGAAATCCCACCACCTGCTTTTTTCATTTTCTGTAAAACAATCAGTGAAACGTTAGTATAGAATGAAATATTTTTACATAAACACTACCAAATATAACTGTGATTTCTTCAGGAAACTCTGATGAATGATATTGCTATCAAAACCCAAGACTTAGAAGACAGAAGTAACTTGCTTACATGATTCTTTTCTCCACAGTTTTGTTACTTTGATATCAACAGACTTTTCCATTGTTGTATAACTTAGGGGTAGACACATGCTCCTTTTTGACCTTTTTTTTTTTTTTTCCTTCTAGTTGAACATTATTTCTCTAAGAAATCTGAGATAATACATCTTATTTAAAAAGGTGTGTTACAACAGCTAAAGCCCTCATCTTTCTTTCTCTGTGTGCCTCCCTAATTAAGAATTGTGATAGTAAAAGTCTATTGAATAAACTCTGCCAGATTCGCATTTCTTTTTGTAAATAAATAGTTTGAAGCATTTTACTCAGAGCTTTTGTTGCTCTTACCCAGTTTGAATGCATACGATGTATAGAAAACAAAGATACTTTCCTGTTTCATTGAGTTTTTAGGGCACAGAGCGTTTGTATAAACCTTGCAAAAGTTGCAGTTGTTCCTAACTGAACTACCAGTACCTGCTTGGTGAGGATCAAACTCTGTGCACAAAACCTACTGTTCTGTCTTTGCTCTGTCTTGGTGCTTAACAGTCCTGTGAATCCCTGGTATCTTTCACCAGAACAGGAGGGGAAAAAAAGACCAGAATGGGCATGGAGATAAACAAGGAGGAATTCTGACAGGGTTTGTCACTAGTTTAACTCTTCTACCACCAAAGTCAAACAATTTTTTTTTACCCTTTGGTAAATGTCTACATACTAATGAAAAATAAGCTTTAAATCTTTTTTTAATTTTTGAAGCATGAGAAGTGAGATGAGATTATGGAAACAGGAGTGTAAATCCCTTTGAAACAAATCTGTCTGAAGAGAGTTGCTAAGCCAGAGCATCTCTGGATCTGTCAATGAAGATTCTGTTCCAGTCAGTTGCTTCAAAGGGAAAGAAAAGGTTTTCCTGAAAACACAATCTCAAGGAACTTCTGTCTGCTATATGCAGAAGCAGAAACCACATCTTTCAGTCTGCCTACAATATTGAAGGTGTGGAGGCTGAAGATCTAGAAGAGAAAAGATGGTCAAAACATCACAAATATCTTTAGTTCTCAAAAATTGTGGAAGAAAAAGTGAAATGAACCTCAGCATTTGAGAAACAAAATGGGTAATATTTGCTTGAGAAAATGTCTTGTGTAGCGCAGAGACCAAAAAACCTAAGGATGAACAACCCCCTTGCTGTCAGAGGCCCTCTTCAGGTCACTGTTCAGACACACTGATGGCACAGTGAGAGGAGATGGCACTGCCACCACTCATATGAGAAGTTTTCTGTAAAAAAAGAGGGCCTGAATTTCTTTTTGCTGACAATCTGAAATCTTCTCCTCCCAGCATTAAAATGGCTAAACCCCCCCTCTTCTACTTACAGTTCTTGAACTCAGTGTGTGAAAACATTTTGCTAAGTTACAAACAAGAGTTTTAATATGAAACAGAGTAAGAAAACACTATACTGGAGACATAGAGTATTTATTTTGAGGGCATTTTTGGTGAGAAAGAGAGCCATAATTGCATGCATACTTAGTTGGATGGTCAGAGAAAGAACCTGTCCATAACAGCAGAAAATATCAGGAGCTTTAAAAACAACCACACACATGAAATGCAGCTGCTAGTGCTATTTAAATAAGAGAACAGAAATAGAAAATAAATAGAAAAACAGAAACCAAAGCTTCCATACTTCTTTCCTCATGGACTGCTGAAAAACGGAACGAATTGAAAGACAGCAACGATAGAAATTCTCAATTAGCTGAGGGTGGATGGAGCCACCGAGCCGTGCTACTTCTTTGTGAGTTGGAGTAATAAAAATTCCTTGCATCGTTTCCAAACACAGGTAGTGGAAGAGGGTATTCTCAGGACCAGATGTCAACCTTAAAAAATAAGAGAATTCATTTAATATGTAAGAAATTTTGCAAGAAATTTCAGTTAAACAACATACACTTTTGTTTCTTAAGTCAGAATTATTTTTTTGGTAACTACAATAGAGTACAAACATGGATACAGCCATTCAAAAGGTGCCTATTTCTATACTAAGGAAATCTTGCTGATTTGGACTGTTACTAATTAAAAAACGAGACCAAACTAAACCACAAAAAATATGGAACTAGTTTGGTATTGCACTTGTGTTCTCCCAAATTCTCACTAAAGAAAGAAAAAAGGAGAGGAAAAATCAAAACTTGTGGAGGAATATGGGGGGGAAGGCAAGCCTTCTTTAGAGTTCAAAGAAAACACCAGCAGCAAGTGGGAACCGAGAAGATCATGGCTTCTTTGCCCTTTGTACACCTACCTAGGGATACCAGGGAGGCACAAGGTATATGTGTGGTCCAAAAACTTTTATTTGAACTTCCAAGATGACCTTTATGTGGGACGTGCATATCTTCTATTGCCTTATTCTTGAGAAATGGTTGTCTTTTCTAATTAAGATCTCCATTTAAGAGCTTTACTTTTGAGAATCCTCACATAGCAAAGTTTTAGTTAGGATAAAATAATGCAGAACTACTGTGATCTATTCATATTCAAAAAACAACCCAAGTATGGCCTTAAAAATTAAATACTTCAGAAAAAATAATTTCTTACTTGATAGCATTAAGAAGTTCTGTATCTTTCTCTGAAAGGTTCTTTTTGAGGTTTCCTAAATGAAATGGATTTGGTAGGGTATGTTTTTTTCTAGTGGCCTGAAAAATAAACAGATATATGAACTAACATAGAAAACACAGCTAACCATACAAGCAGAATCAAACCATCAAATCACCTACTTAGAAGAAAATAACATAGCCTTTTTTAAAAAGGCCCAAACAGTTGCATCAACTTATATAAATGTATTTTAGCCTAATTTAGAATAAAATGAGTTAGAAGCAGTTGTACAACTGTACAGCAATTTGTTTCAAAAACTTATGTTTACACCATTATTATCTTGGGGATATTCTCCAATTGTTTCTGCTGATTCCAATGCAGCTGTGCCCACTTTAGTGATGTGAAAAAAGCAAATATTTACAAGCAATGATAGAATAAAAAATTGTGGTGGCTCCGAGGCTGACCTAGCGCCTCCCAAAGCAACAGAAGTATTTTCTACTGAATTCAGGGGTTCTTAGATTTATTCTTTTGTACTATCTCTTAAAAAACTGGTTATTTGAGTAAGTTTTTCAGAGAATTGCCACCTCTCCCAAGCCCACTAGAACCTTATCAGTTCTTGTTGTCTTTGTGCTCAGACCTGATCCACTACAGACTGTGGATTACTGCTTTCATCTTCTGCAGGACCTTCGTCACCGTGGTTGGGTCCTCCACTGCTTCCTGTAGGGCTCGGCTTACGTGTCATTGTGGAGGAGTCACCAAACAGGGTCCTTTTGCTTGCTGGAGTGGTTACTGATTTGGAAGTATTTTGTATCTTGCTTAGGATGGGTGAGGTGGTCAAGCTCTCCAGTTTGTCACGTGTTGCAGGAAGGAACCAGTCAGCACAAGATAAAGGTGGAATGGAAGGAGAATCTAGCCTTTCCTCTATGCTGGCATCTATTCCTTCCAGTTGAAGTATAGTGGCTTTCACCTGATCGACATATATACAGTCTGGTCCCGGATTCCCAATGGCTTTTGATGCACAGCCTCCTGCCTCTAGCAGGACACACAGCATGAAGTGTCTCTGTAAACATGGAGGCAGCAACATTAGCCTCTGGTTTAATATACAGTATGTGCTGTATTATATATACATCTCATCTGATACTCGGACAAGATACAGCACTATATCCAACACTTCTTCCTCATCCCTGGAGGGGTTACTTATTTTTTTCTAATCAAATCATGTCCAAGGAGATCTTTCTGTTATCATATTATTTAAGTTAATCATGCAAATGTAAAAGCTATAATTTACAAACTCATTAGTTGTTTGCTTTAAAAAAAATCCACACTTAAAAAAATCCAAACACATAAAAGACAAGATTGTGAGAGCAGAAACATTTTCAACTGAAGTGAAAAGGCATAAAAATAACTAGAATTTATACTTAAACTTGCAAGCTTGCCAATATATAATAAATGCTACTCTCTGAGACATTCTATCCCATGAAACAGCTATAATAAGAATATTTTGTAAAATTACTAAAATGCATGGAAAGTGTTGATCTTGCTGAAGAAAAGACAACACACAGCAGCAAAACAGCATCAGAGAATAGGCATACTATAGATATTAACTTACCAAGCCAACTATCAGTAAAAAGTATCTTGCTTCAGGTTCCCTGTATCCTGTAAAACTTGAAGCTTCACATGGCTGGATATGATGATGTGGAAATACTTCTCGCCATATCACTAACTGACCAATCTTCTGCTCTGCTGCCAAGGGTAACAGACAATAGTGCCGACAATATAAACCTATATCAATAAGATCTTCCTTTGGCAAGTGATTACCAATCAAGTAACCCTTAATTAAACACAGAAAAGGAAGTTCATTCAGTAAGAGTTACAACACCATCACTTATCACTTAAAGAGTACTTTTCATATAAGAGATATCCATGCTCCACATGCACAGAGATTGTGGAGAATCTGGCCAGAAATGGTCTTTTAGGTATACAGTTGCACAACAGATAATACTGAGCTTTTGTACCACATCTGAAGCATTAAAATACTGAAATATAAACAAATAAAACATCAGCATACATGCAAGGTACCGAAGACGATCTGGGAAAAGCATGGCTTTAACAGGTTGCAAAACAGCTACAGAGTTAAGGTGCTTTAATTCTCAATTAATTCTCTCTCTAAAAAACCTGAGCTTCTACTCAAATTCATGAAATGTCCAAAGAAGATATACAGGACAACAGTGTTTCTAGCACTAAGGGTATTACAGCTAAAGCACTGTCATGATAGATACTGTGCAGTTCCATTTGTGCTAATAAAGCATAAAGAACGATTGCATGACAAAATCCTTAAAATGTAAGTTTCCTTAAAGCAAAGACTGTTATCGTCCTCTTTATACCGCTGAAGACACTGTCTATACCATTTAATAAATGTAAATAAATTTACAAATGAGGCCAAAGTGAAAAAACCTGTCGATCCAATTTCTTATCTTTGATTTAAAGACAGATTAAAGATAGGTCACCTGTTATCTTTATTAAAGAATGGCAATGAACAAAAAAAATTCCCATTAGAGTATCATACAGTCTCACTTGAATTGACTCATAACTTCCTTATTACCACATCTCTCTCTAATCCTTGGATCATATGCCAGAAAATTCCCATAAGATAGAACAAATTACTTGTTTGAAACTTACTGATCATATACTACCTTTCACTTCCTGACATCAGTTTTTTCTGTTACAGTGTTATAGATCTGTTACTAGAAATACATGTTCAAAGCAATCATACATTTTTTTCATATTTGTGAGGTTCTGAAAAAAGTCACTCCACAACTGAATTAGATTTCCAGATACATTTTCTTAATCTTTAGGCCATAATCACTAATACTACCTTGTAGAAGAGGCAAGAGCCCATAATCGTATATAATCTTCTCATGTCATAATAATCTTCAGACTGGGAAAAAAAAAAAAAGTGGTATAATTTATAATTCAGAATTTTTATTTTATTTACCAAATGCAAGTCAATTAATTCAAGTGAATTGTAATCAATATCTTATTTAATACTTTAATTTTTGACCACTTCTTATTATCAGTATGGCAGTTAATACTGAACGGTTAAGTGAAATACAAAATTTTTAGCCTCCGTTACTGATTTACATGTCACTAAAATTTTCTCTAACAATTTCCAGCTCAAAGTAACAGATTTCCTGTTTAGTTCTTATCTGTCCATAAACTATTTTTGTTCGGATATGCTAATTCTCAGAGCTCTTAACAGCAAAGTAACTGAAGCATAACTATTGTCACCAGAGGCCCTCCAAGAGTAAAACTTCCAAGTCAAAGCATTTTTTTCCAGTATTTGACATTTTACTCAATATACACACATTCACTGATCTTTTAGTCTAGATACCCAGTGCTCTCAGTTTTGTAACACTATCTTTAGGTAGATATAGTGTATTTTAAATGAAGGGGGTGCAATCAATTTCTGTGCAATAAACTGTAACTTATAAACAATGCTTTCTGTAAATAATCATCCACGTTGTTTAGTACAGTGATGCTTTCTTTTTTATTTTTTTGCAAGATGGACTATATGTCTGCCTACCTTGTATTTTAGGTTTTAAGAATCATTATGTATCTTTTGTGATTAAGAATATGTATGTCCCAAATTGTTATGCTAAATATGTGATCAAACAAGTTCTATTTATGCTCAATTATAATATACCTATAAAGAACGTAATTTACAAATAACTGTTCTGGAAAGTGAGTTTAAGAAAGCTCTTTCATTAGAAAGTAAAACTGAAATTTCTGTATGTTTACACCTCACTGTCCTATACAGCAAAGAGCATACACCATGTGATACTTAAATAAATTACCATCTTCTCCTTTAACGATATTAAAAAATATGCATTTTTATGTATTAAAAATTCTTTCTGTAAACTGGAAAATTAAGTTCTCAGTGCTCCATAGATGTTTTCAGGTTTATTCACAATTGCTTGGGAAGGAGACAGTTATTTATATGAAAAAAGAAATGTAGCAACAATCAGATATATTGAAATTAGAGTGTCCTTGTAGACATCCTATGGACCTATAGTAAATCATGAGTTTTCAGTGACTAATCCTATAGGATTATAATACAGTTACAATGCATGGGAGAAATTCAGGATAAAACAGAAAGGGTAAAATTGAGCTATCTTAAAACAAGAATACCACTTTTCCTTTGACTCCCACTTGATTAAAAAAAGTGGATGAGTTTGGAATTGCTGCTTTTTTAAACGACTGAGTACGACACCAAGGCAAAGAAAGAGATGCTGTGCAATGCCAACAATAAAAATAAAATGTTTACCAGCTCTGCAAAGTCAGCAGCTTCCAGATCACTCAGTGCTGTGTCAATTTCCATCTGAAATATTTAAATAGTACATTTTAATAGAGATTTCCAACACATTAATTTACAACAATAGCACAGTTCGCTCTATTTTAATAATCTCAGATTAGAATTAACAAGTACAATATGAATGGATAAAAATTTGTACATACTTTTCAGTAGTAATATCAAGTATCAAAACCACCTCAATTCATCAGATTAAAGAAAAATCCTTCTTAATTGCTATTTATTTCCCTCTCTCTTGAAACTGTAAAATTTCTCTGCTTCTGTGCGTGCTGAGCTTACTGTTTGGTGTAAAGGAGATGTCACTCTTACTTTCAGCATGCTTTAAAACACAAGGTCTAGATACTATGTCTTGAAGGCTAGAGACAACTCTAAAATTTGGCAAGCCATTGTATCCAGCTGAGTTATCAGAAAAATCTTTTTCACAATGGATGTAGTTTTTGTCTCTATGGAATTTGCCAAAACTTTCTCACATATTATCTTTGTTCTACTGAAACTGCTTTAGGCTTATTTCTCTAACTGTTGGTTAATGTTAAGTTTTACTAAGAACACTTTCCTTTAAAGAACATGGTACTAGCGACTGAAGTTCATGACATAAATGTGCTGCTCAATGAAAAGAACCTAAAACTAAACTTACAAAGTTCTTGGGCTGTATTAACAGGCAGCCTCTAATTGAAATACAGCCAGTTTTTCAAACAGAGAAATGTCAGCAAGGCTGCTGGCAGTCGACAACTAACCAGTCTCTCAGCTTTTCCCCTGTTAAAATTTAAATGGCTTTCTGCCCAACAAAGAACTGACATTTTGAGTTTTGTATTCCTTATAGACTATAAAGATCGTCACCAAAACTTAACTGGAAATTTCATCTTCTGCAGCAACAAAAGTTTTCTTGACAATATGGATGATCTAAGACAATTTTGGAAAGCAATGTCTGTATCATAAATACAGGCTACTTTGTTTTCTAATTCCCTTTAAAAACCTACATTTTACAAGAATGAAACAGCCTGCAGGCTAAACTAGGGAACAAAGTGTAACAGAGTCTCTCTACAGAAGTGTGAGGAGAAGCGCGAGGAGAGCATGGAGGATGGGAAAAAAAAAAAAAGATCTCCAAACAGTACAAGAAAGAAGGTCTTAATTTCCTGGATAGGAAGAAAATGTGCGACAACAAAGGCAACTAAGTTTCATTTCAAACATATATTAGGTTGCTGACTGTATTCTGCAATTACATGTTGCATAAACATTCTATTCCCTTCAGTTATGGAGCATGGATAGGATGGATTTTGCAAGTGAGTGGATGGACGTGTTACAGGACTATATCCGCACATCTACATTTTTTACCTGGATAGTAGATTTAGCTCTGGACTTATGACAGAAAAGAAACTTTTCTGAGACACTCCATAAATATGTACTTCTAGCTAAAACATATATAACAGGGTGTTCATACACACATATTATAAAAGCAGAAGTCTGACTAAAATAGTTGCAAACACAGTGGCCTCAAGCACATTTAGCAAAAATGTATCTAGACATACACGGGTGGAAAGAACTAAATCATTATTAGTCTGCTACTAAAGATAAAGGGCAAGACAATTCATATTGCAGAGAAAAGAGAGAGAAGGTTACACCAGCAAACAGAAATCTGTTTGGCAACAAACAGCGCTGACTGATACACAGCTTGCAATGTCCACAAAAACTTCTATTACAGCATAGTAGCACACCTGAAATAATTCTGCAAACCCTGTGGATAGTAAAGTTTAAAGACTTACCACTTCAACCCTTCCCCTCCAAACACACTTTCATGGAAGTAGTAAATGAGGTCTTATTAAACATAAAAGTCAGAAAACCAGGAAAGTCCTAGTTGATATCCTCAAATAAAGACCTTATAAATTAAAGAATATGCCAGTGCAGAAGTACAAACATCCAAACTCAGTCCTTTGGCAGAGCCATTCTGAGAAGCACCTTCAATTTTCCATTTCCATACAGGCTCTTTTCTTTCAGTGGGTACAATGTTCCTTTCTTTTGCTGTTGCTGATGAAGTAAGTTTGGATAATGGAGTTTATGGTCAGCTCCCATTAGAATAATTGTCTAAGAACTAGAACAAGCCTTAACTGTTATCTACAAGCTTACGAGTATTTTGAATCTAACCGCGAAAGAAAACTCTCAGTTTAAAATTTCCCAGCTGTTTCATTTGCATTAAATCATGGCAAATACTCATTTAAAAACAAACTCTACCATGGCAAGACCAATGTATTCTAAACATCATTCGATCTTATGAATTAGTTTGTGAGATTTTGGAGAAACTGCCATACAGGTATGGATTCAAATATGATATGCAAAAAACTCTATGTATGATATAGAAAATAACTTCCTAGCTGTGGAATTGAAAATATTTTAAAATCACAAAGGCAAAAATAAACGCTAGATTCACTAATGCTTAAGATGATGGAAAATGAAAATGCAGTCAATCTCTCTTTCATCCACTTTAGGCCCTGAAGTGAAATGACTAATAATCTAAACAGGTCTACTGTGCCTTACTACAATGCCCGATATCTAACAGTTCTTGAATGAAGGACAATATATAAAATATTACCAAACTGCAATTTAAGTATATGCGCTGTATGGAAAATTACATTCTCTACTAGAATCATAGATATTAGAGTTTTTATAATATATGTGAAATGATTGTTCTAAATAGAAAAGGACGTCTGATTTTACAAGCTGTCTCCTTAAAGGCCAGGAGATTTATATAGTAACTAGCTATATGTTTAGTTTTTTGAATGAGACTGCATTTCATTAAATACCTACAGTGTAGATATTCCCTATTTGAGCTAGTCCTTTCACTTCAGGTTCTCTTCATTGGTAATACAGATGAAGCCACAGGAGTCCTAGGGCATGATTCAGCTAATACTGAAGTAAACAGCTAAAGTCAAGCAGTTGAATTACTGTTAAAGTACCAGATTTTCCCCATTAAATAACAGGAAGAGTTCAGGATTAGCACCTCAGCTGTAGTTAGTCTTTTAGAGCCATAGCTCTAAAAGAAGGTAAGATGGATGCTACCCCAAGTCACTAGAAATTCAATAAAGTGAACAAACTTCATTCTGCCTCATTTTTAACCTTATTTTGCTGAGGCTAAAAACCTAATTAGGAAAAAACCCCAACCTCTATAGGATTAAAATAAGAAACACTAATAAAAGCTACAAGGGAGTAACAACTACTAATACTGATGAGATTACAGAAATTGGAAAGAAAACAAAAAGACAGGAAAGAGCCAGGGCACTTACGATATCTTCAGCCCTGCTTAAATTTTTGCTCTACAAAATAATTTCTTGTAGATGCTTTATTTATCCAAGTGGTCTGTACCATCTTCCAAGAACAGAACTTCTCATTTAAGAAAACAGAGAACAGCGCAGGTTGGGGAGAGGGAAAGAAAAAATAATAGGAGAGCTTTCATCTACTCTGTGCCACACGAGAGTCCCAGAAGGTCTTTCTGATGAGAAACTTAAAAGCAATCATTTCATGATCACCATGCCTTGAAAGTACACATTGATTTCCATACTTCCAATATAACTGCAAATACAGAAGTAAACTGCACCTAGCAAGATCTAGTTATCGACACCTAAACCTACTGTCAGATCAAAACATGTTCTAGCAATGCCTTTTGAAACCTTTTGAAGGAGTAAGGGAAGTCTTCTGGTTTATTTCCAAACAAATACATACACAGTTGTGTTATTAAAGAACACATCTGACACCATAATTAACAAAAAAATATCCCCAGGGCCTTTAAAAATCAAGAAAAATAAGAGATTAAAGGATGATTTGGATACACAACAGAAAAAAAATATGAGAAAAAAACATTTCAGAGGAACTTTCTGTACATAAGACACAATTAAAAGCTTTTGTCCTAAATGTAATTTCATAAAAGTCTTCCCCTACATTCTGTAACAACTGTATCCTTACTACATTGATAAAAGCTATTATAATAAGCTTGTCTGACAACTACTGTACAACACGGCTAGGACTTGCTTATCAATGCGGAGCAAAACTATGCTGGAGATGTGTTATAGAATCCTCCACCCAGTAAGACAAAGTTTTTCTAGTTGCAACGCCTGTTGCGGATTCCATTTTGCATAATTCAGTCTGAATTAAATTTTCATTTTGTGCCATTCAAATGAATAGGTAATTCCAAATAGTTGCATAAATTTCTGGATAAATGAAGTATGTCTTGGCCTCAACTCCACTGCTGAATTTCCTTGGGGTTGTTTTCTCTTGTACAAAAATTGTTACAATTGTTTCAAACTGGAGAAATAATCACCTTTTCGGATTTTGGTCTAATAACATCAATTCTACAGTGTATATGAAAAACACTTCAGAGAAGACTTGGCAGGGATTATGCATCACTCATACATCAAATCTATTATTTTTATTTTAAAAAATATTACTTTACTGATAATTATCCTAATAATCCCTATTTTAACTTCTTAAAGTCAGGAAAATTAGGTTTAAGACTGAAAGCTATAATGCTATTTACTGTGGTTTAGCTTTTGTCTTACTACTGCTTAAAGCACAACTCAGGTTCTAATTGGGAGCTAACCACTCAAAAAAGCTCTACCTGTATGGTGTCAAACAAATGATGTATGGATATTTATTGTGATTCTGCAACAGCCATTTATAATTCTCCTAAATGACAAGTTACGCATGGGCTTCTGGAGTAATATTATCTACCTGGAAAAATACTTAAATGGTCAAAAGCAAGCATAAAACTACACACCAGGGGCTGCTTTCTCTACTGTATATGCTAGTTGTTAGAGATGTGAGGGTATGGATATATTTTAAACAAAGTTTAATTCCTTTGTCATCATGTTCTCTTCCTAGATAACTCTAAAGTCACCAAACTACACTCATAATAACAATCTGTTTCCTGTGGGAATGATAATGTAGTTTCAAACTTAAAAGGATTCTGTAGGAAAATGGTGGGTCTGTGATGGGCAAAGCACTTATGTAAATTACACAGTAACAGCAGAGGACACCCGCATCAATTTTCTGGCCTCTCATATACAAGTTTTTCTAGAGAGATCTGAAAATGACATTACCTTGATTTCCTGAGGCAACGTCAGCCAGCGCAAGCCTGGGAGGTTGTCTAAGAATAACGCGCTGCAGGTATCATAGTGCTGAGCACTGGGGCTAGCATTTGACTTCAGCCTTGCAGGCTGAAGCGCACGCTGGAAGAACAGGTTGAAAAAATGATCCAGGCGAGAAACATTTTCCACCTGGCAAAAAGCACTGAACAAACATGAACTCCAAGTTAGAATAACACTGAGAAACTTGTAGCTTGTTTATATAACCCTCTGTGCTATAGAACTCTCTTTACAGCATGATACTACATTTGGATTTTTTTTTTTTTTAAACATTCATTTGAAACATGAAAAAACGCACTAGGGTAATATTCAGGCAGTACATACAAACAAACTAAAAACGAAAGCAGTGTAGTATTATAGTAGATGTCTTAAGGCAACTTAAGATAAGACATTGATCAGTTTCATCCTTTCAGAAATTAAGATTATTCTTTTCTTTCTTCATGACATACACACTTTAACTCTGAATTGAATGCAAGCATATGAATAACCTACCTTAGCAATTTTATTTAGGTTACAGTCAGACTGAAAATTTTCTGGGTGATTTCCAAATGCCGAGAAAGACAGTCAGTCTGCCAAATAGAGTTAAGGAGTCTGGAGTGTTTACTTTATTAAAAATATAATGCTGATTTGTATGTACGTTTTACAGACAGCGCTTTAACACAAAGGGTAACTTTTGCAGTGCTGTTGACATCCACAGTGACTTATAGAGTATGTGAATGATTTAACCTAATCAAGGACAAAACCTTCTGAAGTAACGAAGACTTAGTAGTTTAACAAGTCTTACTAGTGTTAAGACTGAAACAAAAAGGCAAGAAGAACAGAAATGAAAAGAAATTCCATGTAAACATTAAAATTAATGCTACTAGCCGTCTTTTTCAGTGAGTATCAATGAAAAATTAGTGACTGAAAAGCAAATACTTTTAAAAGAACTCACCTGTCTAAAGAACTGTACATAAATTTCAAGGTGCTGACAACATCTTCAATCATGTTCCTCAGCTGAGGAAGTGGCACACTAAAAAAAAAAATTCAAACATACAGCTATGCTTGGACATCTTTACTGTGAATAAACATAGTCATCTTCTGAAGAGCTCTATTCTTAACTAGTGATCTAGCGCAGAGAAGAAAATTCTTCATTGAACTATATGAGACATTTCCTTTGAGTGACTTGCCTGTGATGACACAGACAGTAGTAAAGCTGGGGGGTGAACACAACACACGTGACAAAGTTCTCCCAAAACACAGAAATATGTAGTATCACTGTTGTTATTCAGTAGTCTCTAATCAGGACCTGACTTCAGCAAACACTGAAAATTACCATTTTCCAGCCTACATGTATTTCTGAGATCTAATGAGACCTTATTCCCTTTAGTAGAAATTAAAAAGAAACTGTAGCAACAGATGCATAAAAGATGTGAACAAACTCAATCCAAAAAGTGGAATCACAGGTATAGAAACTATTCATAGTAAAAAGAGTACATTGTAAGCCCTCCCTTTCTTGCCCTTTTGATAGAAGAGTACAATTTGAGGACACATAATAGAAAACATAAAAAAAGGAAAACAAAGCATTTTACTTGAAACTCACTTCTCTTCAGGAAGGCCAATTACAAGCAACTTGTCAGATTCTTTCCAGTAAACAACTTGAACCAGTTTTCCACATAAGAAAAGGGAGGAACTAGAAAAATTAAACCAGAAGTACTTCTGTTAGTACTATGAAGTTATAAAAGACCACCTTATAAACCAGAATGAATTATATGTATTTTATTTGCAAAAGCTAATCGCATGCATGCAACTGGGCTAGGTAACTATATTAATTATTACAGGACTCAAAGACGCTCTGATTTCTATGCTTAAACAGATCACACCAGCAGTAACAGCATTTTCAAGTATACAAATATAAAGGATGAACAACTGCTACTGAAACACCACAGTTGTCTTCTGATTGATTCAGATGCTGTTTAAAACTCTTCCTGCCTAGCTTTTAACACAATCAGCTTAAGAAATTAATGCCATTTAAGATCACAGCGAGGTAACTGAAGGTACTAATGAAGGTTCTGAACATAGTAGTCACTCAAAAAATAGTTTCAAAAGACTCCACACAGGTTTTGAAAACAATATCTGAAAATGTTACCTGAGCAATAAACATAAGACTGAACTCTCATGCTACCTCCTTGTATAGAAAATTGCTCTCTGAAGCCCAGCAATCCAAGAAAGACACAGAGAACTTTCATGTGAACCACAGAGTGGATTAGAACACAAAACAGAATTAGACCCAGTGTTCTAATTAGCAATAAATCATACACTACACACCAGACTATCAGATTAAATGTACTGGTTGCTGCTAAATCCAAGGTCTGTAAATATCTCAAAAACTAAATTTCTAGCAAAACCCCACCTTTCTTACTACCATGTTAGAGATTTTAAGTAACAAGGTAACACTGCTGCGAAGTAAAAAAAGGGTAACTTTAGTTTAAGCTTGAAAGATTCAAGAATTTAGTTTTTAGGATATGGCTCCATGATTAACTTGCTTCACTGATGAACTGTAAAAATGATGGAACTGACTAATACTATAGTAATTTATACCTTAGTATTTCCACAGGTCATCAGAAAATTTTTATCCTTTATGTAACCAAAAGTGCTTTCCAAAAAAAACAAGTTATATATTTATAATGCAGTTAACTACAAAGAAAAAAACATCCCCATCCCAAGATACACAATACATGTGCAGACACAATAATCATAATTTACTCTTCTGACAGAAAAAGCTTCACAGGAGAGCTGTGGCTAATTATGATGTTTTTTGAAGGTATGAGACAGTCCACAGAGACCAGTAGAAGTGCTTTTACATTTTCAGAACTCAAAAATGGGAAATTGAGACCCTTAACAGGAAAGGTGTATCTATGTTATCATGGATTTCTGTATTGCTTTTCTGATGATGCCACAGGTATAGATCATCAAACAACATGTTTTGGATGTGTTTGAAAATCTGGACATGTCCAAAAATGCTTCTATATGGGAGAATTTCCAATAATAATGCAGAAGCATTCGAGAGGAGTGAACATACCTCCATGCTAATTAATGTGGCACTGCATTAAAATACTGGTATATGCAAAAGACTAAAAGGCTGTGTTTGATACTTGCTGCTAAAGGAGTCAATCCACATTCCTACTGACCACTAAATCAGTCACATGACTTTTAGGATCTTATTAACTAAAAAGTTACAAGCATGGTTAAAGCACAGTATTACAACTTGGTATCCTGCTATTTTGAGTAACAAAAAGTCTGAGAAAAAAAAAAATTAAACAAATGTAAACAAAAGTAAATTAACCAGCATTAATTTTCTGGTAAACAAAAATACTCAAAAGCACTTCAAGAACTCTTTTTAAGGAAACATTTATCACTGTAAAACCCAAGTTAAAGATAGTAAACAGCCTTTTTGCCTTTTGAGGAATTCCTTATTATTGCCAGTGCTGTTCGCTGCTGCACTACTGCTTGCACTCTGTATTCTTGGGCCTGAAATGCCACTTACATTTAGCTTTTTTATACCCATGCAGGTCTTGTGTCTAACACACAAGGCACTGATGTGCAGAAGAGACTCATATACTGGTTTTCAATGGGAAGAAGTGTGAAACTGAGAAGTGATACCTCCTAGCTCACTTCTAACTATTCCATCAGAAAATTATCTATCTTTAAATATTCAATAATCTTTTGACATCACCACCACCCCTACACTGCTCCAAAAACTCAGGACTAATTTTTACTGGACTTCTTACTAGAGTCCTGGTCTGTGGATACAAAAATCTTTCAGGTGTTTAAAGTTGAACGTGAAATAAAATGAATTTAAAAGTAGCAGGCACTCGTGTATTTAACTGAATTACGTTTTATATTTTAAATATTTTTTTACTTTTTTAAAGATTTGATATAAACTGTTATAGAATTTCTAGTCTGCCACATTACAGTGCCACAGAATCCCAGTTTAGATAAGGATGTTTTAAGATCTCTAAGAAGGGATCTAAAACCAGTTTCACTGAACTAAAAATCCTAGTCATTGCCACACATGACAAAGAAATTCCTTCAAATCAACATATATCTGGGCTGAGCAGTCCAACCTGAGGCATGCTGCTCTAGCTGAAACATTACTGCCTAACAGGTAGAATTGCTTTTGTTTTGTCTGGAACTTGATGCATGACCCATGTGTGTTTTTCTGTACACATATGTATAAAAGAACAAAAGCAGTAATACATTACAGTTCAAATACTTTTACCTGATAATCTGGGTACCAGTTACACTTTCCAGTATGTCAGATAGTGTGAGAAATATTCCCCTCACACTTTTCAGTTTTTGGGATGCTTCTGATACAGGGTACTGATAAAGAATTTCTTGCTGTGAAGAAAGTTAGCTGTTAGTTGAGCAAAGCAAAACCAAAAACAAAATCACAAAAAAAAGCACACCACAAAAAATTTTTTTCCTGGCATCATTTTAAAGTTCAACATGAAAGTTTCTGAGAGTTCTACCTTTTCTATTTTACAGAATAGAACCATTATTGTAAGGAGAAACATAAAATAACAAATAGTATGGCCACTGCATTCTGCAGCTTGAAGTACACTGTTAACAAATCTGACTGCAAGAGATAACTAATATGTGTATGGTTCTTACAGTATTTAAATTGTGACTTAAATCATCCTCAAACACACAGCTCTTTAAAACCAACATTAAGAATATGAAAACTCCAGTATCTCTATAACACTAATTGCTTTACATGTATAGCACAAAATATAAACCGAGGTGTATACCCAAATAACATACACCTTTAACAATTTTATCACCAAACCTCTGACCATCTGTGTTAGCATACTCTTAAAGAAGTAATCGTGAAACTGAAGATCAGTAAATACTTGAGATAATTTTTTTCTAACCAGCTCTTTTAAATAAATTTTTATGTAAGCATTTTCATTTTATTTCAGCAACCATAAAAATCCAGTAATAAGCAAACATATGATTCCCCCACATTTACTGCTTTCTGAGAAATCATGATGAGCCAGAAATAATTCATGTAATCTTAAGCATATCCAATGTAAAGAGTAAATTATCCTACACAAAGAAAAGAAACACAGACATGATTAACTTTCCTATTTATGTCACTAAGAACATCCAGCCAATACCCGTTAGAAAATTCTCTTTGAAGATTAAAAGAACGTAAAGTTTCATTACAGAAGGACCTGGCAAACTTCATTCTTATCCAATTTAATTAGCTCTATTTTCAAATACTCATTAGTGACAAGGATTTTTTTCTTGAATCTATCCTTCAGCTGGGAAAAAAAAACTGCCATTTTCTAATTACAGCACTGCAAAGGGCTATACAGAGCCTTTTTTTTCCTCCTCACTGAACTGGGGCCTTTACACAAAATTCATTTGAGAATTATCTGTACCCTTTCCCAGGAAAAGAAAAGACAACTGTAACAAAAGGTCATAGCTCATCACATATATATATTAATGAGTTATCAAGGTTCAGCACACACCACCATACAAGATCATCTGTCTTCCAAGCAAGGTGGAAGGTCATAAACCAATGAGAATGGAATTAATAAATGAGAAGTAGCTCTTTTCTTGAACAGCGTAAACCCTCCCTCAACGCAAAAAACCTAAACCTGGACAGACTATCTAAAACTTAAGGGCTTAACAAACAGCTTTTTTAAAAAAAATTTACTAATTTCTCAAACTGAGCCTAAATAACATTTTAAAAAATAATTAGTGCAGTCTTGACCAACATAAGAAATAGCTAGAAGAAACTGTGTCAAAATGGTGCCAACCAGCTAAAAACCTATAATCTTCAAACACAGAGCACTGGTAATAGAGGCTTTGAGTTGCATTTTACATAAGATTAAAAAAGAAACAGCAGATGAAAGACAACTATGAATTCTTAAAAGATTAATTCAGAAATAATAAAACCAGGGAGAGAGGCTACAGGAAGTATAAATCAGTGTCTGTACGAACCAAGCTATCCTAAGAGCTGCTCAGTAGTACCTACTTTGCAAGCATGGTAAACAGATGCTTCCAGTAACACACTCATGTAGAAGGAATAGGAACATTATTCTTTTTAAGACATGGTACCGTCAAAATCAGTTCAAACACAGAAAGCTGTTACAGTTGTATGCTGGTACCTACCTTGAACTAAACCATAAAAAAAGACAAGATGAACCTTACTCACTGAAAACATGATCATATGGGACACTCCCCACCACATGCATGCACACAACCTAAATGATTTCTAATACTACTTTCCTTTACAGTTGAGTAGATAAGGCTTACAAGTCTTAGAGCTCATTAATTCTATTTTTGGGTGCCAAAGCTCACAAGTGGAAGAATTGGTTACTAGTTCTAGCTGCCATTGTTTACATGGATGTGATCTGCATACCATACCTCCTCTGGATATGGGTAGAGCAGGTTAGTAAAGGATCATTCTATTTTTATGGTGCAGTATGGCAAGGTGTATAATCACTTCCCTGCTAATTTGAAGTACTACTGTAAACTAAATCAGGAACAGTACATCCACAGGACAAATGTTGCTTACTCTTCACCAAATAGAATTAAAGAAAAATGCCTTGAAGAAGGCGTCATTCTTCTGTTAGGAAATATTATAAAGAGCTTGATTACACCAGCAATATATCTCTGAACATTAGAGACTATTTGGTGCTGCATAACTGCCAAGACTTCTCAGGAAACAATTGTTCCACAGTATGAAGGGAGAACAAGTGCGTTACAATCCCTCTTTTGCCTCAGCTCAACATTCAGGGTTAATCCTGTTTCTTGGGAGGGCAAAGAAACAATGGGGCAAAAAAGCAGTACTCCATTTACTCTGAAGTGCAGGAATTGCAATTAGGCATTTGCATACCTATTCATCTACCAACAGAGGAGCCAGAGGCACTGAAGTATTAAAAAATTATTTCATAAAGTTTATCCAACCAAGAAAGTACCAGTCTAAGTCTGCAGCAATTCTCCATAGCTGTTCTAGCCATATAATGTAGCAATCTTGGACTACAAACTTACAATTGAAGACAAAAAAGAACTATTTGCAGTATTTAAGTGAACTTTGATAAAGCATTCTAAAGTCTATTTAATTCACAGTTAAATAAGCTATTTTCATTTTTATTATAGGGAAATACCAAAGCAGAAAAATACTGCAGTATCATATGTTTTAATGGAAGCAGTCTCTGGGTGGGGAAAAAGAGCACGGAATGACCTTGCTTAGTTGCAAAGCTATTAAAAAAAAATAATTCTGAGAGACACTTGTATAAACTTATTTCTGCTGGCACCTGTCATGAATAAATGCAGTCTCAAACAGGACTGGAAAGAACTGCAAACTGAAGCTTACAGAGTTAATACCTTGCTGTAATATGCAATAAGGCATTCATTACCTTAAAAATATTACATTACAAGCATGATTTATATTGCAAAGTCAAGTATTCCAGAATTATGAAGTACTGGATTTATGGTTGTTTAATAAGCTTTAATTATACACTCATCTGTCCATCTTGTCCTCTGCAGAAGGCAGGCATTTTTCAAAAAAAAAAAAGTAGTGCTTAAGACAATGTCATGCTGCATACATACAAAAGGGCTGAATTAAAATTGCACAAGTAGCCATAAAGCTTTCCAGCATTTAAATCTGCAAACTTCATGTTATTTTTTACATGATATTATCATATCATGTAATTTTCTAAGGTTCTCCTCCCCAGCTCTATCTCTAAAGAAAATTAAACTCCATTATGTGTAATTGTAACACTTTTTTCTCTATTACACATCACCAACAGAACAATACAGACTTGTATCCACTGAAAAACAGTATCAGAAAAACAAAGACATCTCAGAGAAGGGATGGAGCAGTGACTGGATCTAAGGATTAATTCCAGGAGAGAAAGCAAAATGTCTGTCTTCTGCTCCCCACTACATCCCTGTCCCACCACCCCAGTCCCTGAGGACTGACAAAACTTGTGCTTCATTTGATGTCACCGCATCACAGATAACAGTTCACTACGGCACTATGCTAAATCTAAGGAGAATTGAAAGAAGGGGGAAAGAGTCTTTTTCAAATGTCTGTTCCTAAGAAGTCCACTTTGTCCATTTGTCATATTCAGATCAGGCAAGAGGCCAAACTCAGCCCTCCACACTGTTCTGTGTCTTCCCTGCATTCTGAGCGGAGTATTTGTAGCTATAGCTACACCATGGACAATGTCTACACAAATTTACAATGGGTTACACACCACACACACTGGCAAAATTTTCCTTTTTGTGTTCCTCAGAAAAGAGATGTGAAAGGAAGCTTTACTGGACAAAGGAGAAGTACTTCAGTAGATCAAAAATGTTGTCCAAGCAGGAACCAACAGTTGATTGCAAACAGCAGACATGCAAAAGTCCTCTAAGAAAAGGCACATTAGCATTTCAAAACAGGAGGAGCTAGACAGATTATGTATGTGGACTGCCAACAGCTCCTGCTGGGGAAAATTTTTTTGACTAGGCAGATTTCGTAGTTCAAGTTTGAGAGGCATACTGAAAACATCACAGTGAGCATCTGAGAAACAATAATGAACTTCTGAATTTCTCTCTGCTTTGTCTTTTAACACCTCTAGCCTGCTCTTTCTTGTAAAGACATTCAGCAGCACTGAAGTGATTTCAAGTCCAATTAGAGTTTGTCAGCAGTGATGCTAACTATTTTCCTGGAATATCAGGCCTTATTTCTGTCAAAATGTACATTTTACAGACTACTCAAAATCATTACCAAGGCATATTTTTACTTTTTTTTTTTTTTTTTTTTTTTTTTTTTTTTTTTTTTTTTTTTTTTTTACATGAAAAGGAATAGCAGTTGCTGTTGTCAGCTATAACCTTTCATCTTCAGTTTTAGTTAGCCACATACCTCATCCTTAGATGTTTCAGAGTCCAGTTTCATTGTGAGGAACATAACAATGTGAGGCACGTCTTGTATAGCCTGTTGAAGGTCTGTACTATCTTCTCCCCACAAGAGCCGAACCAGGTTTTTCATACTTGACTGTGCCCGTTTAGACCTTTGCTGAGAAGTTCCTTCAGGCTCAAATATTGATGTTTCAAATGTTAGTTTAACCTATTAAGATAATTAATTATTGTGAAAATGAGACTGTACTTAAAATTACATCCTAATGCCAGATGAAGCAGATGCAGTTTGAACCCTTTAAGAGATTAAGTTTTCTTAGCTTTACTGACAAAGATGTAAGCGTTCAAAAATTCCTGCTGTTTCAAGAAAACCTATTATATATTCAGCATTACACAACCATCTATTATTAAGGACAAAACCAGCTATTACATGCTCTATGAACCATGCGAGTATGCATGTGGTTTGGTGTGTTTTCATACTTAATTCTTATGGTTTTGAGAATGGAAAAACATACTTACTGCTCTGGGTTTGTTTGAACACAAAACCCATTACCATTCTTTTGAAACACACACAGAATTTGACTGCTTTCACAATGTCAGCACTTCCATAAGTATCTATCCTCAGTGTTCTTCCATGAGCCTGCATTTGCTATTTTGAGTGCCCTGACAGGTACATCAGTACATGACGGGTACAGGAAAATCAATTTCTATTAGACTGCAAAAGTCTGTTAATTCATTAACAGTAGCAATTCTTTCAATCTGCCAATGTTTTCACTATGTTAACTTTTTTTTTTTAAACTGTGAAGTCAGCAAATATGAGTTTTGTTGCCATGTTTACAGTTGTACACAACCAGCAAGAAGTATAAAAACTGTTTACATCACTTGCTGTGCTATCGAGCATAAACAGAGCATTTTCTCTTAAAAAAAAAAAAGTTCAGATAGTCAAGCTTACTTTGTCAAAAAATGACATGATGTTTACTGTTCTTTATTTCCCAAATAATGTAAAACCCAGGAATCTTAGAATAAATGCATATTTCCTGGCTCACAAGCAACACAAAATCCAAACTTGATGTGGAAATGTTTCACAGTTTGCTTTACAGACCTCCTTTTTATGAGCACTGCCTTACAAAAATTGTTTGTTCCAGCAGTGATGAAATAAGACTATTATTTTTTTGTGAATGAACACTTTAACCTAAGAATAAAAGATGGATATGTGAGAAAGACGTAGCTCCTGACTGAGCATAAAATTGTAATTTGTAATAAATCGATAAATAAATTCTAATAAATTGATTTATTTTCTTGGATGATAGCTTAGTTTTCATGATGCTCAAAGTGATCAAAAATATATCTATTTGGACTAAGGAGACATGCTCTGTGTTCCCTCTTTCATATGTTTTTACTCAAGATTGTTTGTCTGCCTTAAGCTATCCTTAACATGCCTATTGATTGGGAAGTTCTAAATATAATACATCACAGCAAATCCCACTTCTCTTTAAGGTCAGCAACAGTTTAGCCTAATGATTGATGCAAGAAAAAAAAAGGCTTACATTTTTCCAGTTGCAATAAATTTGAAAAGCCAGAGCAGAGGCCACTTACACACTTAAATATAGATAATTTACATTTTTGTAATTGTGTATGTGTATTTACATACTTAAAGAGAGGAATGTCAGCAAGAAATAATGATGCTTGAGAACACCCACTGCCTGTCAAACTAGATCAGAGAGAAGTGCCATCATCAGCTCTTCCAGCTACAACATTTGTGTCACTGGCTGCCGCCTTCCCATTCCACCCTACTTTACACTTCTCATTAATCTTTTCTTCTCCTGTTTTGGCTGCTATTGGATTTTTTCTCTTTTCCCATTCTCTGGAACAGCACTGCACTCAATCCTGCTCTCCTGCCATGTACTACCACTTCCTTTCCTGACAGCAACTCATCCCTTGCTCTCTCCTCATCATTTCAGTTTCAATCCATTACACTGCATATTAACAGGACCCAAGGAACAGAAACACCCAGCTAAGAAGCAGTTGCTTTTTAAGACTAACTTGATCATTCACAGTTTTTTAGATGTATGTTTTCTTCTCCAGCATTCGGTGACCTGGTTCTCTTCCTTCATCATGCCATCTGCACGTATTTCAGAGGATTTTCCTCATACTCTTGTTTAACTTCTTGCAGATTTCCTCAAGGCTCAATAGTTATTTCTCTTAACTTCTACTAGATCTTGCCTGTGGACACTTATTGATGACACAGTCATCACAGCTACAGTCTCTACACTAATGATGCACAGATGTCATTCTTGCTGCAGTCTATCTTTTAGTCTCTCAATTAAAAAAAAAAAACAATCTCAGTCTGTCTTGTCTTAGAGACACAACCATATGGCCCTCCAAGCAAGAGCTCAAAACAAACAGGACCGAACAGAACTTTAACTCTCCCACCTTCTGTAGGCATCCATGCTGCCTCCCACATCACTGTGGGCAATACCACAACTGCTCAGATGTGAAGTCACTTTATTTTGAGAAATACCTCTCTCCACAATTTGACTACAAGCTCCTTTCCAAATCTTGATTCTAACAGCTTGTAACATGACATTTTCTGTTCCTCTCTACTTTTGTCCAAGTTTCCCGCCTTTTAAAAGAAATTATTGTGAAAAGGCCATCTAGACTGGAAAATGCTGTAATAGAAAATGACCAAGAGACTACATTTCTACATACACTAAAAAATTTTGGGGTTTTTTGGTTTTTGGGTTGGGTTGGTTTTTGTTTGTTTTTTTTTTTTTTGTGTGTGTGTGGAGGAGAAATGAATCTTCATCCCAAGCAGTGCACTGGATCTGATTAAATCTGTGACTACTGAAGTACCCTTTTGTAAATACTATGAAATCTTTGATTCCATTTCTCCTAAAGAAAATCAGTTCAATAAACGGCAGAAAAACGAAAAGGAAATGAAAATGATGAATGGGAAAAGCACAGAAAATATTAGTATTCCACTCTATAAATATATAGCATGCACACATTCTCAATACTTAGAACACTTCTCAAGAAAAATGTAATCCAACTGCAAGAAGGCACTGATGAAGGTGACAGTAACAGCAAACTATGAGGTACACAGATGGGGATTTTTCCACTTGGGGAAGATGTGACAAAAGTGGAACATGACATAGCTCTCCAAAATCATGGAATGATACAAACAGTAAGAAATGGACAGCTAACTACTCCTCATACCACAGGAACCTGGGAGTATGAAGTGTACTTAATTAGATGGCTGTTTGAAAAACAACAAAAATGAACATAATAAATCAGTTATGTAAATCACTGCTACAGGATACTGTGGAGGTCAAAGGAATTTTAAGAACTAGATTAAAAAAGGAGAAGGTACAAACCTGTAAGTGATCCAGCAAGTCTACTGACTGCTAGAAGCTGGAAAATATGATGGGAAAGTCACTCTGTATTTAATTTGCTTCTGAATTCTCTTCACTTAAACATTTGTCAACATAAAGAGCAGAAAATATAGCTGTTATACCACTGGTCTGATCCAGAAAGGCATGCTTTCTGTTTATCTGCTGTAAGAAAGCTGTAAGTCTTGGAATATGGATTTTATTACAGACAGAGACGGTGACATTGCTTGTCTTTTAAGATTGTCTGCCATTTCCTGTTGTCTCTGTTTTCCATGTGCTTATGGTTTGTGCAACTGTAACTCAAAATTTCAGGCTGAAATTTCTGATTCTGAATGTCCGCCTCAGGCTGACTATTTTTAGAAAGTTTCGTGTAAAATGGTTCTGCAACTTCTGAGTATCAGGGTATGGAAAAGTATATTCTTTTCGCATATCTCCCTGTTCTGTCTTGTGGTGCTAGGAAACAGCAGCTATTTCCATTACAGCAACGTAAAAAATTGTATAAACTGCAGCATATAACTTTATCATACAATCTCAAGCATTGATTGAGGGGTATTCTTTGGCCTGTCACTACTACAGAACTTCTAAATGAGATACCCAATGCTTTAATCAGAATCGGGACTTTATCTTCTTAGGTGACATGCAAGCACCCAAACAGAAACAGTTCTGCCGTTAAAAAAAATAGAAGAGACTGATGTAGTGTTTGGACTTCTACTGCTCAATAAATACACTAAACTACCCCTTATATGCCTAGACGCTACTTTGCCTAAACTGAGATAAGGAAAATAAAATCCTGAAAATATAATAATGAGAGATGTTATGACACATGCTGCAACTGAGAATCTAGGTAGTTAGTTTTTGAAATTACTTCCAGTAATTTTTAACACTGAACCCAAAAGAACAGTGATTCCACTTATGTAAATAACTTATACAGTAAGTCAGCTTTAAACTGTATCATTTTTAATATTTTGCAACCTATGATGAATGACAGACAACACATTAACAATTTTGCTTGTGTAACAGCTATCTTTATTACTAAATCTCAGAAACAACAAACCCTCTGTTTCTTCAGCAGCATGAACATATTGCAAAAAACCCCAGAACTCTGTATTTAAATTCTCTATGGGTCTATTTCAGCAGTCACTCTTCTGGCTTGAATCAAACTGCACAGTAAAAAAGGAGTAATTGCACTTTAATAAAAGGTTTTGGAAAGCCAGCATGACAAACAGTTATACATTTCAAGTAATCGTTGTCTACTTGACAGATTTACTGACAATGTAAACATTAACGTTGCATTAAAATTAACTACTATATAAAGAGTTGCGCTGCATTTTAGCAACAAGTAATATATATACTCTAATCTAGCAAGGATACAATTAAATAAACTATATAATCTCTGCTTTTTTAATCATTCTGTATTTCATAACAGTTACAGCAACTCCATATTTGGTCAAAGACAGGCAAGACAAGGGTTTTCTGCCATGGAGCTCTGCCAATACCTGACCACAACTCTGGTAGCTTAGGCAAGCTTCATACTGTCAAATATCTTGGAAAGCTTCCCAAACTGACAAACTAGTACTCAATCTCACTGCAGTTACAGATGTAGTTCTACAGGCACTTACACTACGTAAGTTGTGAACAGAAGCATGTTTAACAAAACGTAAAATTTCCACTTCTTTTTGTCTTATTGGACAGTAAAACATTTCTATTATTATCACCTCATATTCTACCTGAAGAAAAACTACCAAGAGATTAAGACACACTGTAAGAGACGCTATAATTTTATCCTGCTCCATCTCATAAATTGCAACTTTTACCTTGTCTTCCTGTCCACCAGGAAGTGGATTTAAGCAGAGTAACTCAATATACTTAATTTTACGCTACTAACATCGTAATTTAACACTCTCCCAATTCTGAAAAAAAGAACTAATAAAAAATTAGATAGAGAAGTCTCCATTATAACTCTAAAATTATTATTCAGCTAGAAGAGAAAATATATGCAGTAGGGGGAAGAAGTTGGGGGGAGGAAACATTACTCATCACGTCAGTTTTTTGGCAGGTTTTTTTGTATCAATTTTTATTACTGACTTCTATCAATCTTCATCACTGTTCAATTTTGGAAGGTTTTACAAGTATTTAATCTCAAAGCTCTTAAATACTCAAGAATTATTTTTTCTATTTAAATATGAGAGCGGTATCAATCTCTCCATTTAAATGTTCTTAAGGGTCCTTAATAGCACTACTTGTTAATTCAGGCTTCTTTTTTCTCTTATATTGATGAAGATATAATTATTTAATTATTTCCACAGCAATTATTACCATTTTAAGAATGGTAATTAAAAAAAAAAGCCACTACTGTTCTGCAGCTTACATTTATTTTTGAGCTAGACATCATCTTGCTTCATACACACTATTGCCAGATTGCACATCTCCAGCTCTACCACCCACCAGGAGTGAGGCATCACAACATTACATACCTTGTCCTTCATTTGCAGAGATCAAAGTGTTCCCAATATCAGCTATCAAAGCAACCATACTTGCCATCTTTACCCATAACTACAACTATCACTGGTTAAAATTTGTGCCAGTGTCAAAGGAGTTACTTCTCTGTATTCAAAAAGAAGTAATTAATTTTGATGCAAATGGTAACATAATAATGAAGTTGTTTTCTGAGCAGGAAAGGTAATACAACTTGGCTTTTCACATATGTATGTCCTAGTTCTCATAGAGAAACATGAATAGTCAGAATTCTGCAAGCACAGAATACCTTGACTCTCACACTGGCAAAAAAAAAATAAAATCAGGTGTTATGGTTAGTCTAAACCTACAAGTATGCTGATACCTCTTGCAAAATGTTCCATGTGCTTTTGGACTCTGGCTGATGACAAACAGAATATGTAACAGCTGGACTGTGCTTAATGTCCCTTAATGGGACATTGGCTTGAGTAACTTACTTGCACCTACCTATTTTCACAAAACTTACCAGAATTAAACTCTGAAATTTCTACTCTAAGTTTGACTGAAGTCAACCAATGTGTTAAAAAAATTAATGTGGAATTTCTAAGAAAAAGCCCACCTAAGCTCTGTTTCCTAAGGAAAACATGCTAGAAACAGTATTAATTTTCACAGAGGACATTTGGAATAAATGTTCAACTACTGTACCTGCATAGGACCTGGAATGCAAGACAAAACCCTTTCTATGTTTTCAGAATTCACATCAACATCATTTACAGCAACTAGAGCATCTCCTGGAGATAAAACAGACAAAAGCACGAGAAAGTTAGATGGTATTACATAATAATACAAAGCCAAACAGTGTTTTGTTTTTAAAAAAATCAATACAATATTCAAAGACTCATAAATGTCTTTTAGTTACATTTAAGTAGACGGTTTCTACATGCTAACTATGTTTAGAAACATTATTCTATTACATCAATGCTCTTAAGGTCTTACTGTCACGCTTGTGTCATTTAAGAAAAATAACTGTCAAAGCCTCTCCCCTCCATCCAGGCTTATATTACTCTTGTTACTTGATCAGAAAACCCAACAACTTCACCAATGAAGTTACGCACAAGAATTACTTTTTTTCCCCCTCCGAAACCACCTCTGTTCACTTGACAATCCTACTCCACTGCTTCTTCCATTGATATAAACACTTAGATTGCCAAAAGTACTTCAGAACTCGCTCTTCCTGTAGCAGCTTACAAGTTCTAGGCCATCGCTTACACCAAAGGTTTCAAGTGTTGGCTGAGCCTATCTATCAGAGGAGCCCACCACCCCTGAGCCCCTCTCTTTGAAGTAGTCCTGGCAGTTAATGTGTACCTTAGTAACTCATTTAAATTCACTAAACTGGCAGAAAACCATTCACTCTTCCTCACTTCATCCCTCCTTTGTCTCGCAAGCCACATCTCAATTCAGTCCTTTCTCCTCATTTCCATACTGCTGGAGATTGTCCACTGCTGTGGTTCCTTATTTTGCGCTCTTTATGCTTTAACTGCCAGTTCTTCCTGCCTAATGACATCTTGCATTTTCTAAATCTGACTCTCTTCCCATTACTGGAAATAGGGAGAAAAATCTCCGTATCCCAAAGAAAAAGTCTTTAACTGCAAATGGAAAAGGTTTGAAAATTAAAGGCACTAGTTATAAACACAAAGAGAACTGAATTAGAGCTTATAAACTTAAAATCCCCATTAAAGTACAAAAACCAAACTGGGATTTCTATCCAAAAGTGAGGGGAAATATCCCAGCCATAACTAGTTGATAACCTCTGCCTCATCCCCCTCAAAAAGATGCATGTTTAAGCATGAAGCATGTAAGATGAGACTGACCAGTGAAAAATCATAGTTAGAAAACATAAAGTGAAACTAACATTAAAAGATAAAATTACTTAGACCTATCAAAAGGAATAGAAATTGAAAAGTAAGGTTATATGGCCATCCATCTACTTTTTTTTTTTTTTTTTTTTTTTTTAAAAAAAGAAGCAGCAGTAAGAAAAGGATACATATTAAAAATATTTCTGGTATGGTAGCGGGACTTTAAATCAACCAAAAGATTTGATTACTTAACTAGGCAATTTAGAACATCAGTCCAACATTTAAGGTGAGATTTTACGTTGAACCTAAGTCAGAAAAGGATAGTCCTTCACAGTTTCTCTAATGTCAACATCCAAAGTTGGAAGCATTTTTCAGTATAAAAGAAACACTATATCACAGAGGAAGAAACCAATAAATATTACTGGAATAACCGAAATATAATGGAAATAAAGAGTATATTCATTCTCAAGAAGGTAGTCAAGTAACACAAAATGTGAAAGAGACAAACACAACACCTGGATGCATTAGGAAAGAGTTTCCTTTGAATGCAGGTGAGTATGACTAGGACCTGACAAGATCCCATCCAGAGTACACCTTACAATTCTATTCACCTGTGCTCAAGAAAAATGAAATAAAATGCTATCAGATACATAGAAGTAATACTGCAGTGACCAACATAAACAGGTTCTCCGTCTCCAATGGTTACAGATCAGGTAAGTAAAGGCTAGGTGTGAAAGCAGCTAGAATAGAAATCAGAAGGCTCTGCAGCCTCAAAACAGAGAATTTCTTAAAAGCTTTCCAATAAAGCTATCTAGGGCAAAATACCCAAGATGAGGTAACATAGAGCTATGGAAAGAACTATACGAAGTGACTACCAGTGACACCAGGATATAGGGCTTGATGGTTCATTAGGTCCCTTCAAGAGCCAAATATTCAACTTCAGAGTAACAAAATAGGCCTCATTTTCTACTTAAATTTCTTTGGTGTCACTTTCAGTTGTCTCTGCTTTCTGTTTCTTAACATTGAAAGTGACTTGATTCCAAGGTCATTCTCATGAATGAGATGACTTACAGGTGTGAACTAAAAATACCAAGAGCTGCTCTGGAAGAGCAAATTGAAAACCAAGCTTTGTGCTCGAGCTGCACAAAGACTACCTTAAACAGTACCTCCACATCCTCTCCAAGATTATTAATATTAGCATTTAAAAGACTGTAACATGTAATATGAGACACTTAATAAATGACTGAAAAAGGGAGTGAGGTACTCAGTTTTCTTTCAAACTAGGAACTCCTAAGCTTTGTTCTCTAAGGAAATGAGGCTTCTTCAATTGTACTACAAATAGCTTTGATTCCATTACTAAATTTCAGCCAAAGCTGGAAGGGAAGGCAGAAGTTGTGTTACTCACTACAAGTTCTTTTAATGGACTGCTGGATAGAGAAGTGCCCCTACTTTTCCTTTCCTCTCCTGCCCCAGGTAAAGCTGCACCCTGAGCTCATCACCTGCCCTGTCTGTGCTCCAGGCTGGCCAGTCTATACAAGGGCAGTTCAGAGTCAGACACAGCAAACACCTACTTGTCCAAAAAGCTGTTAGAGGCCAGGAGAGGGAATAGTATTACACAAGCAGTACCATGTGTGGGGAGAGGCGTGAGGGGAGGAATTCTGGGACTGGTATAGTAAAGGTATGTGGCTATAATGTAAATCCAAAGATACTGGACAGTTTATTATCTCCTCTGTTCATAGTTTATTATTTGGTATCATGACACTTAAGTGAGCCTTACTGAAAAAGGTGAAATAAACCAGCATGTCCATCACAACTAGTGCCCACCTGTGCTTGCAGGATTCAGGGAATTATATGAATTCCAATACACACAGGCTAGAAGCTGCAGTCGTGACACCTCTTCTCCTGTGCCAGAACATGTGAAAAGCCAAAGACGGCCTTACAGCAGTATTCAGCTACACCTGCAATAGAGAAATCCTCAGCCAGGTAGTAGGAGCAGTGCTCATCACTCTCTCAGGCAGTGTAAAAGGATATGGATTCGCAGCAAATGTGCATGTTAGTATAATTATATTTTACGCCTTGACTTGGCAACAAAAATGGGCTCAGCTGCAGAAATAAAGCACTGTAACAACTGTAAGGTTCAGTACATATTTCAAGTTTTCTAGGGAGAAGACTTGCTCAGCTCAAACTAACACAGTGATGATAATGACTAAGGAAAAGCAGAATCTGTGTCTCTAAGGTCTCTCTATTTCCAGAGAATCTAGTAAAGACAACAGAACCTGAAAGCTTAGAAGAATTCTGACAGCTTAGCATTTCTATCTTCTTGTTAAATACCAACAAATACAACTGGAATTCTTCCCAGGTACTAGGTCAATTACTCAAAATCACTGCAAAACACAATTAAGGCTAAGGAGAGAAAGAACATTCTTCTTAACTAACCATCAGTAAGAAAATACTGAATCCCCCCAAAATGCAAGCAGTCCCTTTTAATACAGTAGGCAACGACCAACTGCTCACTGTTATTTTACATTAAAGGAAAATACATTCCTACTCTTTCTTACAGCAAAACCAATAAAAGGTTAAGTTTTATTATACACACAAAAGTGTTATCATTCCTTGGAATTAATTAAATTGGTTTTTGCTATTTCAAGTAAGAGTAGCTCTCTCCCTCACCTCTGTGCTTCTTGATGCACAGGACAGTAAAAGTTTTAGCCTACTAAATCTTCAAAGACGGGGAAGTTGATAGTTAAACAGCATTTAAAAGCAACTCCGTAAATCCATGCCAGAGCCCCAGGACTTGAAAATTAGTAATCAAAAGCAGAGCATTCAGGCTACTCTAATATAATAAGAAATTATAAACAGAATTACAGCGTTCTTTGTTGAAGAATGCTGTATTCAAGATCATCACTCACAAATACAAGAGAAAGCAAAAATCACTCTTGTACTCATCTGGAGCACTGTTCAAACAAAAGTTGTTTGTGTTCTGTTTGTTTTACTAGAGACCTTACCAATTCTGTTGTAAAGACAACAGTCAAGTTATCTAATCCACAAAGCCATTCAAACCAGCTGCAGACATTAGTGAAGACATATGCACCTTAGCACTTATGGGAATATTTTTGAACCACATCTCCCAGGGTGGAATATACAAAGACACTTTGAAAGGAGAACCATCAGTATTTACATGTTATATACTCAAAGTGTTTTATTTATTCAACGCCTAATGTACATATGTAAAACTTTCATTGCAGATGTAAATATTTATTCTTCTCAATTTGTAAAAAATGTAATCACGCACCATAAATGGAACAGCTTTCCAAAAGACACAGGCAAAACAGTCCTGTAATGCTGCCTTCATTTTGCCAGAAAACGCCGTATCACTATTACAGGAACTTGGTGTACAACTGAGAAACTCTACACCTGCCAGTAGGGAAGAGGTGGTAGTGGTAGCGTGTCTGCATTTTTTCCTTCTTTTCTTTTAGCCAAACACAACAGCACTCAAAGAGTAGAGACTATGAAGTAACAGAATGGAAGACATCACCAGCACAATAGGAAGTATGTAAAACTATGAACATGGAGTATCTTAAAGCTGAACATGACCACAAATCTATCCAGTGTGATAATTAATGACAGCAAAAGAGTTTACATATGCAAGTGTTCCTTTGTTAAGAGTTTCACAGCTACACCTTCTTTGAGAATTCTTTCCTCCCCTTTAGCAGTGTGAAAAACTTAAAGAAAGTGAAACTGATTAGGTCTTAAAAAAGTGTAAATGTATAAAGTTTAATCTAATTTTACTTACTTAATGCTTAATTAATTTAGGTTAAATGAAATAAAAGGGTAAACGGTGTTTGCAACTGTTTAAGTTGATCTAACTTGATGGTTTGCAGAGTTAAGTCAAATTTTCCCAGACTAAAACATTGCTGAATTTCAGATGTAGAGAG